CGTCCAAGCGCCCCACTCGTCTTCATTTTTCTGGCCTCATTCTCGTCAGCCCCCTTTTTACGGCTTTTCGAATCCTCCTCTTTTCACTTTGGAAACACCGACTCACGCAATATCTTCCCCTTCATCGCACTATTTTCGATCTTGTCTTCCATTTTTCATCATAATCTGAATTATCCAAAATTATCGTGAACTGTGCCTTTAAGGGCAGACACGTCAGTTTTTCCCAAAAATCCCGTTGCTCTCAAACTGATTGTTCACAAAACGAGGTAAATCGTTTTTCTGGGAGGTCCTTCTCCTGCTGTTTGATTTCAAGAAAGCTGCCAGTGAAGCTCGCCGGATGCTTTTCGATACTTATGGAGAACAAGCTCCATCTGATCGAACCTGAAGCTCTCACCCAAAAGCGGCCGTTAATCGCAAGGAACATCATAAGGTGCTGTTCTACCACGGCAATTCCAGACCCCATGCTGCAAAGAATGTATTTAAAAGAATTGCACATCTTGGATGGGATGAGCTTGCACAACCCTCATACTCTCCGCATCTTGCTCCATCTGATTACCATTGATTCCGGTTCATGCAAAATCAAGAAGCTACCAGAAAGATGGCAAGAAGTTGTAGCTAACGATGGGCAATACATTGGTTAAAGTACATTTTGCTTTCATTTCATAATAAATATATTTTTGCACGCGAAAGACGGCAAAAATTAATGCATACACCTAATAGTATTCTGGGAGGAGCGGCGTATGCGTCTTGATAGGGAGCAGTTGACTGACAGCGGAATTTTAGTTAATTTCCTTATACAAGCATATCTTTGTTTACTAGTGAAGTTTTGAATTTGATTTTCGACCCTTTTGTAGTGCGGTAAAAATGACAGTTGAAGATTCCTCCACATACTCGTGACCCTGTATCCCTGCCAGTTTTTGAGTAGACGAGCTGTATCGACGGAAATGGTCATCTGTTTCAGCCCTGGCGACACGTACATTGGATATCTTCCCCTCGCCCACATACTGGAAGTTTGTGCCGAGACAATCGCCTTCACTAAGGTATTGATGGGAGGTGACTAATCTAAAGACTGGTTGATTTTTCATTTCCAGGGTGTTCGCATCGGATACTCTTCTGCTCAAACGCTCTTTGATCGTGCACCGAAAATCAAGAAGGGAACTCGAGGAGACTGCTACGCACTGAAACCGACGCTCATGGCCTGTGTACCGGTAAGAGAGATTGGTTGACTAGGGTTCTAGAGATGGTTAAGTGAGAATTCCATCAATACCTGTTTTTTTTTTTTGCTGTTTTGAGCCTTTCTTAGATTCGCACCTTTATCTAGCTTACGTTTCGACCTATGCTGTGAGGTAGGCTGGATAAATTTGTGAATCTCGGAAAAGGCTCAAAACAGCATAAAACAAGTGTAGCTATGCCAAGATTAAGAGAAAGTCGAACATGGTCCATTCTGCATCAAAACCCTTTTAACCAGAAACGAGCAAAAACGCATATCATAAGTATCCAAGTTCGACTTTCAATAAATCTTGGCATGGCTTTAAATGAATCCCGTTAGACCTCCCATAGAACCTGTTACCAAAATGATAAACAAACGCTTATTGACTTGCGTTTCACTTTTATTGCCTTCTTCACATTCTGGAAACTTGAAGATTTTTGCTATCCATACCTTATTCAACAGCTAAAACTTAGGGAAACGGTTTTTTAGTCCTAGTGTTCCCAAATAGACATTATAATCATAAACATACGATAACGTGTTCATGGTTATCATGCCCATTTAGCAACACTAGATCTAGGGGACTGTTTCTTTCGAAGTTTTAGTCGTTGAATGAGGGATGGATAGCGATGATCTTTAAGTTTCCAGACTTTGAAGAATGTGATAAAGCCAACCGTAAGTCGATAAGAGCTTGCTTATCATCTTGGTAGCAGGTTTTATAAAAAGTCTTACAAAATTTGACAGCATCTCAGTTTCCTAATCTTGACAGCAACAGTGTCGCAATGCCTGATCCCTCTTTTGAACCATGCTTTACTTCACAGTAGGACTAATTTTGTCTGGAGGTCCCCTTTATCTACAACAGTTACGTTTCCCACCAACGCGTATCATTGTTATTCTACTACACCATTCTACTACATCAACTTTCTGTAATTATTACTGGTCATCTGCTTCGTACAGCATTTGTTTCGGTCTGATCTTCTCTGGTTATTGAAGGAGTTAGAAAAAACAAGTTCCTTCGTTACCTGAGTGGTTATCATGGGTTTCAGAAAAGTTAATTTTTTTTNTTTTTTTTATTGATTTATAACATTCTTAAGGCTATAATGGACCGAATTTACAAAGCCGTCATAGAGGAAGTGAATTCGAATAGTCTCCTCTTCCGAGAAATGTTTCGAGCTTGTTACGAAAGAAAGCGTGCACGTTATGAAGAAGGCTATACGAGTTTCATTCTCAACAAGTTAGTGTTCCTCTTTTCTTATTCCTTCCAAAATCCTAATTTCCACGAAAAGCCTGTGATAAAAACTTCTACTAATCACTTCGTTTGAACTGGAGAGCTAAATGTTACAATAGACGTTCTTAATGAAATTGCGCTTGAAAAGCTGCTAATTGTGGTTGTTGTGCAAACAGTTGGGCAGGGCATCATTCAAGGTGTACAAATAAACGCTGCTGAGAGATGTGAAACTTTTGACGCGTAAACGTTAGATTAGTGGGAGAAGCCATTAATCTGAAGGATGTAGTTTAATTACAGTAACTAACGTTGTGTGCATCATTCCTGCAGACGACTTTTCTGCCACTATAGTCACGATTGCGGCCTTAAAAAGATGGAAAGAATTCAGGATTGAAATTCAAAAAGGGTTTATCCAGGTTGGTATTCAATCGAATCGGCAAGTTACTTGGCGGGCATATTCGATGTGTTCTATCAGGCGGAGCTCCACTTAGCTCGGAAACGCAAAGGTACTGGAACTGTCTGCTTTCGTAAAAGCACATGCAATTGTAAACAGATAAGTAGGTGAGCACGTGCGCAGATATATTTATCTGTTCAGGTTCATGAACATTTGTTTCTGTTGCCCGGTGGTCCAAGGGTACGGTTTGACGGAAACTTGTGGAGCAGGAACACTGGCTGACAGTATGTCCTGTTTAGAGCATTCCCTTCTTCTATTCCTTTTAGTAAACAACTCAAACAATTCAATAAAAATGGCTGGCGGTTGGAAATTGTTTCACAATATTCCAGCATATGATTTGTCTACTGGAACGGTTGGCCCACCTCTGACTTCTTGTGAATTTCTTCTCGAAGGTTGGGAAGAGGGTGAGTTCAGTTTTTGCCCTGAAAATCCCTGAATCTGTTCAGTTTTCTTCACGACAGCTGTGTATCTCTTTTTGTTTTTGTTTCTGAAGACGAATTGAAGAACGTGGGGGCGTTATAACTTTTTCCAGTCGGCCTGAGTTGCCCTGACTGTACGTCATTCTCATGTATGTAGTCAAGTTCGGTGTAGCGGGAAAAAAGGGACAAAGAAGCGCTGCAGAAAACAGTGTTATGCGGGCATATGAAAATATATATAGGAGTCAGGAGAAGTCATCGATGGCTGTTCTCCCCACCCGTTCCTTTTTCCTGCCTTCCTTGACCTCCTCCTCCTCCTTCTTAAAATGAGAGTAGTGAAACACTCAGTCTCAATGCTATAGCAAACGACAACGAGTTCTTGAACGATTGAGGGAGAGGCTTGCGAAGATTTATTAACAAGAGTTTCGATTAAAATTTATTCACAGCTAACTGTATTGCCAATGAATGCGGGCATAACGGGACTCGCTCGCAGTCGCGTGCTAAATATTCGCATAATGTGCTCATGCAATTTTGGCAGATTTGCCTTTCACCAACAAATGAATTCCTCATCTGAAAAAATCTGAATGTGTCCCTTTATGAATAAGTGTCTCAGCTGGTTACTCGCCGTATAATGAAAGGCCACAAGGAGAAGTTCTTATCGGAGGAAGAAGCGTCGCCATTGGTTACTACAACAATCCAGAGAAGACAAAGGTAAACTGAGTTAACGTTACTCCATCTCATCCAATGTAGCGAGTTCTTGAAGCGGAAGCCAGTACCACAATGTTAGCGGAGTGGTCGGAGCAGTCTCCTAGCTGCGATTAAGGGGGAAGGTCCGTTGTTGGCGTCCGTCGAAAGCAGGTCCTCGCCCACTTCGCGCGTGGCACAGCCCACTAAAGTCTTCAGATGGCACTACGGTACCACCACGTGTCAGTGGAGCGAACGATTTGCATTCGTCCCTGTTATCTTCTCTTCGAGCGGACTGCCGTGGACCAAGCGCAAAACGTATGCCCTACTAAAAATCGCGACTTCCGTTAGGTATGGCAGGCTGACCCGCCGCATGATACGGCTGCGGGGTGACCTAGTTTCAACGGACGTACGCAACGAAGCGCACCCGCGATTAAGGGAGGGTGTGCCTGTGCATAGCACTCCTTTATTGGCAGCGCTCAGGACCTGCCTCTAAATGCGCCGCTCACGTGTAAGAGTAGCCCCTGCTCTACGAGGAAAATATAACCATAGCAAATTTTAGGAAGACTTTGTAGAAAGAAATGGCAAACGATACTTCGCCACAGGTGATATAGGAGAATTTCGAGAAGACGGATCTCTCAGAATTATAGGTACAGCAATCAAAATTTCTACTTCATTGCGATGCAGATAGGCCTTTGCTGTTTCAGATCGGAAAAAAGACTTACTTAAGCTGGCTCATGGTGAATATATATCGCTTGGTAAAGTCGAGACCACTATACAGACTGGTCATGGAATCGATACAGTTTGCGTGTATGGTGACTCATCGAAAGATTACTTGATCGCTCTCGTTGTACCAAACCACAAATACCTCAAGAAGAAGGCGGAAGATGTAAGCCTCGTGGATACATAAAGTACTCACTCATGAAAATTTTCATAAGAATAGCATTTAATGAGTTCATATGTACAGTAGCGCTCAAAAGTCTTCGGCCAAACGCTCTCACGCTTTTTCGTTCATAACTTTTTTTAGCGGAGCAAATCGCGCGAAATTTCGATATGTTTGGCTAAAGCATATTTCACGCTATCCAACACTACTCGAGTGCGAAGCAGCAATATCCACATAACTCGAGCAAGGTGTTTTTTGCGGTTCAGCGCTCAAAGCAGTTATTGACGTCTGCAGTCATTCGCACCTTATGTGCATTTCTCTTCAATACTGTGTCCGGCATTAGCGGTTAGACATGGCAAAAAGGAACGAACTTCCAGAAGCATCATCATCTGTATTTCCAGTTGATTTTGAGTTCAAGCTCTTCGAGATATCTGGAACATGATCAGATTGCAAGTTGATGGTGGTAAATATTCACAATACACCTATGCTACACATATCGAATTATCGCATTATTACATCCAATAGGAAAGAAATTACGACTGAAAAGTGCGACTGGAGAACCATTGGCCGAAAACTTTTGAGCGCTACTGTAGGTACAGGGGACAAGTAAAGTTTTCCTTCTCGGCAAGAGAACTGTGAAAGTAGCTGTTAAAGTCACAGATTCGATCAGAGGACCTCTCAAGAAACGTAGATGAGTAAAACAAAATCCCTAGCAGGGCTTAAAGGCACCGTTCACGATAATTTAGGGATGTCCGGTATTTCACAGATAGTGATAGGTAAGGCCTACATTAGGACAATGGTAAAGCATAAAACGCGAAAAACAGCGAAAAAAAAAGAGATATAGACGGTCAAAAAAAAAAGGAGAAAAAGGGGTTGGACGAGCTTCTTAATGGAAAAACGGCGGTCAAGGGAATTTCCAGACAAGTAGACGAATGCGACGTTATGTCTGCCATTGCACACAACACGCTCAAACGGCTGATTTTGGCTTCTTCGTTAATATTATTTATTCTACTGATGATATTAAGATTTTGAGATTATTGTGCCTGATCCTTTTGATGACGGCTGAGAATAATTTACTAGAACGGAATAGAGCAGAACATTAGTCGAATAGTAGAAATACAGCCGAATACTTGTACCAGAAGGAGGCGGTCGACCAGCTGACCGTCTCTGTCAATTTGCCAACCAGCTTATCGATTTTTCACCAACTTCGCTCCAATGCGATAGTGGTGAACGGCAATTAGATTTCGTAGTCAGCCTAGCGAGGGGCGGAGGGCGACAATGGCTCACTCTCCGGCCCCTTATTGTGCCCTATCCTGACCGTTTTCCGACCTCATTCCTGCACAATTGGTATCAGAGGGGGCGTCGAATACAAACCATGTGCAAATCTCCGAAAACATTTTTTCGTGAACTGTGCCTTTAATCAAAGCTTCATAACAAGAGATCAAGTAGCTCTTCTCGGCAGCAACCACAAAACACTTGAGCTCAAAAAACTTGCTTTGAGAGCACATTTCACATTAAAAGTGGTTCGTGAAATTAATCCCTAGGATGAACTTGTGTCCTCAAGGATAGCCTGAAGGACGGTGTATGGTTGAATAAAAGTCAAGACAGAATAAACATGGTCCTCTAAAACCGGTTTAGCCGACGTAAACACCCAAGGCGGACGAGTGCTTAAGCCTTGTAGAAGCTGTAGAGCTTGCAACATTTGCACCGAGACCCACGGCTTGCACGCAGCAGCGTATTGCAACCAGCTGTAGGTGTATGTCCTTTGACACGATCCCTGCCATCGCTCCGCCCATTCGACGCGGTTTGCGACTTGGACAACTCATCCAGGTGATCGCAACCCATTGCCCATCTAGCTGACAGAAGCCCGATCGATGAAGCCACGCAGATGGGCAGAATACAAGCAGGTCTCTAATAGTAGCGGCATCATAGATCGGGCTTCTATCAGCTGAGCAGTGGGTTGCTCGATCACCTGGACGAGTTGCCCAGCTCGCAAACCGCGTCGAATGGGCGGCGCGATGGGAGGGATCGCGTCAAACGACAGCCTCCCGTCTATGCAATGGCGCGCGCAACAGCTCGTCCAAATACCCCTTCCATGCAGCTTTTTTCATAACACTTTCGCTCAACCCTTCATTGAACATTTTTTCAACGCTTTATATTTCTCTGAATACGCCGATTTTTGGGTTTTTTTTTTCGCCACTTTTGCATTTTTCTATACAACCACTTCCAACTCTCGTTTGAAACTAGATAACTCAAAATTATCGTAGACTGTGCCTATAACTGTATGAATTCCCTTCAGTAGAAAACGACTTCATTCGTGGTGCGTGCACACATATCCTTCATTCAAAGCTATTTTTNTTTTTCCATTTACATGTGCGTTTTGATGGCAAAGCTTGATTATCGCCGAGAATGTAGGTAGAACTTTGTAATGAAGGCTTAGATGAGATATGTGTTCTGATTCTATAATGAAAAAGGATAGTTTTTATTATTGTAGATCGGCATCACTACTAATGATGACGTTGAAGGATTGTGTAGGAACAAGGAAGTGGTTGGTGCGGTACTGAGAGATATACAATCACACGTTAATGGTAAGCAACTCCCAATAACCTACCATATGTATTAATGATAATGAGATAATAATTAACGGTTCTTGGCCCGAGTTCTTCATTATACGTTGCGTACTTTTATCATGTTTTTATTGTGGCTTAGAATCACTCAGAGTCAATTGCCCTCCTTGTAACAGATCAATCATATGAGCCAAATCTCATCGTTTCGCCATTCCAGTCATTTTGAGCATAAATTTTTCACTCCCGTTAAGGAGGTCTGGTTCCAATCTGCATTCAAATAATATTCATGTCCTCATGCCTCTATCGTGAGCATCGAACATGCTAGGATTCTATCTTGCCTACAGGTTCGTGATAGGTAAAATTACAGGGAAATTGCAACGAGTGGAGATTCCGAAGAAGATTTTACTTTGCTATGAACCCTGGACTCCAGCGTCTGGGTTAGTAACCGAAGCTTTGAAACTGAAACGAAAAGTCATTGAGAAAGCCTTTCGAAATGAGATAGACCAGTTATACAAATAAAAGCAGCATGTTCACCTATTTCACATCAGGTGTTCTCATATTTCTATAATTCACCTCAGTGTTGACGAGTTCAATACCAATGATTCGGTAGATTCGGTTCTACACATCCACATAAACGAATTGTATCTGAATTGTAGCTATCGATTTAGCCTCTATTGAAGTATTCGGATGTTTTGCTCACTGTAATGTTCATATTTATAGTACTTGTTTGCTCATATAATTAAGTTCAAACATTAGCAACTCAGCACCGTAACAGAGTGTAGGAAGTTTTGCAGATGAATGAGATTCTTTTCAAATAAATTTCTGATAACATAGGACTTTATTCCCTTTCAGATTGTAATGCTCATACATGAATAAAGATCTTGTTCAAATGTCAATTAAAGTGTAAAGTAATGCTTGCCGATATATTCTGACACTGTTAAGTTTGATACAATATCAAGCCTGAGAACAACTTGGGATCTGGAGCTTTTGCTTCGTAGTCTGACAGCTGTGCAGTGGAAGTGCGAAGCTTAATAAATACATATTGGTACTTCCCATGGACGACCTATCGCTGGTATGTCTCACGTGAATGATCTGCTTTTGCCGCATCTGGATATCGAGAGGGTAAGAAATGAGGGAAAAGATGGGGCAGGGACAGGACAGGTCGGGTGTGGTGCGTTCACGCGTCAAGTAATGAGATCGTCTCGCTGAAGGGCGGAACCTGCGGTGGAGCGGTGCTGTGGAAGAGACGCGTTAGAACAGCAACAGACATAACCTACAAACGTGGTGGGAAAAGCAGAAACCTTGAAAGAAAAGTTTAATAATGCACAACCATGCACGCTTACAAAAAGATAGCGTTTATTAGGAACGAAAAATTTGGAACTACTCCTATTTTGAAAGATTGATTTTTTTTGATTGATTTTGAAAGACGGCGGCGCATTTGACAAGTAAATTTTTGACCTATGCAGTAAATTTTATGCTTTAATATCATGGTAGGAAGATTTGCATTTTTCATGGTAAAGCCATGGGCTGGGGCAAAACATATTGGCTGCTTTCATAGTCCGCCGACCGGCGTGCACGAGGCAGTGCTAGGGGGAGGAGGGCGGCAGACGGTCGGTCAGCCCCACGAAGGGCTGTAAACAAGGAGAGACAAGATCAAAAACCATTTGTACGANCCCCTCGTTGTTTGGTTTTTGATCTTGTTCTTCTTTGTTTTCAACCCCTCGACCGACCGTCTGCCGTCCTCCTCCCCTTAGCACTGCCTCGTGCACGCCGGCACGCCGGTCGGCCGGCCGGCCGGCGGACTATGAAAGCAGCCATTCGGTCCATCTCAGCTGAAGAATAGGTAACGACCTCATTGAAATTCGTACGTAATCTGCTCTAATCTAATCTGATTGAGTCAAGTGTGAATCGCACGCTCCCCGGACGGGTGTGGGTTCATTCACCTAATTCTGAAAGGAAATTGGCCTAAACTGGCTGCAAAATTCGTTGCGATTTAAGCGGCTCTGGCGCTTATCATTGGGGCACAGGTTCTAGGTAGATTGGATAAGAAGGGCCAGCTGATGCTACTTATCTACCCTACTTCAATTTTGTGCCCCCAATGATAGGCGCCAGAGCCTTTCAAATCACCACGAATTCCGCCGCGCAGCTTGCCGCGCCCATCCGGACTTGGGTGAATGTTCCGTCTCCCTCATAAGACAAGTCGCCTTGATCATTTAGAAGTTGATGCAGCCAAGAAGGGTTGACGCTGATATGGTTACGATTGATATGGAGCAAGTACAGCGTCGAAGGTTAAAATTTAGTAATGTTCTGTTGAAATTTTTTCCGACTTTTCAATCAATCAGTTTCGCAAATATCTAAAGGAGGTCGAAAAAATGTACTGAGCCGTCATCTACGAGAAGTTTCATTCAAAATTTCCATCTAAAGGTGAACAGTACAACTTCCACGTTTGGTCTTCTTGAAGCCCGGGCATGCCACTTAATTCAGGTCCTTGAAAACAACGAATTAGTCGAAACGTCTGCCTAATAAACGAATCCATCATAACAAACCTGTACGGCAATGCATTTTGAAATATAATTGAACAGTACAATTCCTAACCAATCAAACCGTAGTCGTACCTGTTTTACTCAAAAAAAACTTGACCGGTGTTAAACTTCCTATCCCGTATCAACTCACATCATTCAACTGAACTAGAGCATTAGCTTTCATGCTCCCGCCCTTCGCAATTGTGAGGCCTCGTTTGGGATGTTGAGGCTATTAGGCAATACAGATAAGGATTTCTGGTTTTGTTCAGTTATGCTTGGAGTTGTATACTTAACAGATTCGGAGATATCCCCTCTACAGATGTTATCTCAACGTATTCATTATATAAACTGGCCTTTTTGTTGAACTACAGGAGATGTACTCGTGTACATCGTTTGGTTGTATCCAGCGACCACGCTCTTGTCGATGCGTTTTACTGAGCTTTCAGATTAAGTATTTTCGAATTAAGTGCGAATTGATTGCCTCTTGGAAAAGGGACCTTCCACACTCACATTATGTTATTCTTGAAGCCATTCATTGGAGAAACTACAAAAATCCCATTGCTTCTGTCTGCCTTAGCGTAGTTCTACTTTACTTCATATTTAGTCATTTTTTATAGCGTGTGATTTTAACGGCTGTTCGCTTTATTTCATTTGATTACGGTCAAATATTGCCATCCATTGAACACTTTAGACTGACGGAATGAGTCTCGACAGCAAGATCGTGGCGTATCGCTTCATTGGTTGCGCTACGCTGGCATTTTCGATTGCGTCTGCGCTTTCCATCTGCATCACGCTCCCTTTGGTCTCCGAGTACGTAGGTAGTATCAAGGTCCGCATTAGCAGAGATGTGAGCTATTGCAAAGTGAGTTCAGTGAGCTAGTTTTGTTGAAATCTCCTCGGAATGAACTACATGCTTACAGACAGCGGCTCAAGACATCTGGTCAGAAATACGCTCAATAAAATCTGATAACAGTACACGCGCACAGCGTCAGGCAGGCTACGCGACTCCATCGTTCAAGCCAGGAGATGCAACTCTTGCTGGAGCTGGCGGTCAACCGGAGACCGATCCATGTGCAGGCTGTTGTGCTCCTGGACCACCAGGTATTCCAGGAACACCTGGAAGACCAGGAAGAGCTGGTAAATCTGGTGCAGCAGGAATGAATGGAATTCACGGGAAACCTCCTCACGTCCCTTGTGAAGCCATAACACCTCCCCCATGCTCTCCTTGTCCGCCAGGACCACCAGGGCCGCCAGGACCGGATGGGGTTCCAGGCCCCGCTGGAACACCTGGAGATGATGCCGCCCCGGGCCCACCCGGCAGCGCGGGCCCACCAGGACCTAAGGGACCTCCTGGATCAAGAGGAAGAGATGGCCAACCAGGAGCTGGAGGTGCTCCAGGAGCTCCTGGCAGCGGATCTCCAGCAGTACCAGGTAAACCAGGGCCACCAGGTCCTCCCGGACCGGCCGGACCTGCAGGTTTAGATGGAGTCGATGGACCGTCAAATGGTGCAGGTCCAGCCGGGATTAAAGGACCACCAGGTCCTATCGGTGCACCTGGCTCTGACGGTAATCCAGGTGCACAAGGTCCCTCAGGCAAATCAGGAAGTCCGGGAGAGAAAGGAATTTGCCCCAAGTACTGCGCCATCGACGGGGGAATATTCTTCGAAGACGGTACAAGGCGATAGAAGCTGAAAGGCTCAGAAATTTTTCTTGTGTATCTATTTCCTATATTCGCATAAATATACGCATGTTACCGCAGACCACACATCACATAACGGCACATTTATCGGAAATGTTGTAACCAGGTCTAATTCATGGATGGACACTTAAATAACATGTACTGGGGTATTAACTTCATAGATGTCATAGGCTACTTTCCAACACGTGCTGTGTACAAATAACGCCTTTTGCCTACACGAGCAACGTACAGACGCTTTCTGATCGATGCAGGAGGGTACCTGGAATGGATCATAGCTTGAATTTCTAAAAAGATGAACTAAAACTGTTTTTTCGTGTTTGATCACAGCAAACATTGGATTAACAGGCCACAAATTAGACTACCTTTCTGTTTGTAACTTTTTGTTCAACTGTACCAGTCGAATCGCCTGAGTCTCCTCCTTTTCGTGTAAAATTGAACTGCAGCTTAAAATAAATTTCCAGCCAAACATATATATATATATATATATATATATATATATATATATATACTCTCTCTCTCTCTCTCTC